TCCGCCTTGTTTGGCAATTTCCAGGCGCTGCAGTGCATGCAAAAACAAATGCTTTTAAGGCTGTCACTGGTATGTCACAGTTGTAAATTGGAATTGCTCAGCCATGGAGGCTTAAAAAGATTATTTTGTTTATGAGACATCCTCCAATGGAAAAAAAAATCCCTTATTTACATGTTATCAGTAAAAAAGCTTCAATTTTGTTGGAACACGTCCATCTGAAATTCATTGATGTAAATGGATGGTTTCACAAAGACTAAAGCTGGATTCTGCTAAGTAGTTATCAGCAGTTAGTATCTACCTAGATGTCTCGACAGCCTCATTTTGGATATGGAGTACTTTTTACAAAATAGTCAGTGTAACTGCTTATTAAAGTAAGCCAAACTCTAGATTTTCTTCATGCTTTATTTGATTTTAATTGAAACCAGGTGTTTATATAGATTGCACAAAAAGACAAAAGGCTGTTTTATAGTCTCAGAGTTTAAATCAGACTTCTCTTACTAAGGTCGGTATTGAAAAGTGTATTTTATATGCACAATTGTTATATTGTCTAAAACTTAAATTTTAAGTCCACCTGACCAGAAAACATATTTTCAAAAAATGGTTATATTTCTTTTGCCTGAATGAATTTATAAACTCTAATATGACTCATGTTGCTTTTATGATGAAGTATTTGTTGCATTGTGTCTAGGGCTTTCTTTTCAGCTGCAATCAGGATGTTTAATGTTAGGTTTTTATTCTGTATTTGATAGTTAAACATCTGGGGTTTTTAAATCACCTTATTTATTCTGTAAACCTCAAAATTAAATAATTCCTCACATATTATGCTGACATTTAGAAAATGTAAACACTTTTGGCAACCCTAACTGAAGCAGACACAAATTTCAGTCTGGTTTAGTGCCCCGCAATGATGAAATAGAGGTTTCTCCATTTCCCAATTTGCATAACAAGGTACCATCTAAATTCAGCTGTGTGTACATCTGGTAAGATACTGACTGCCGATTAACAGGTATCTGAATTCCTCTAAAAAGATAGAACCAGCCATTTAAGGTTTTGAGTGATCTGTCTTTTCAAACCCATAACAAGTTGTGGCAAAATACTTAGCCTAGTTCTTCTGGAGGTTTTCATGATAAAATGGGAGTTTTCTCTTCATTGTCAAAGTAACTGACACAACAACATTGCCTGTTTACTTTAGTCACATCCTCTACAGGAGGAGTGAATACAGTAAATCTTTAAATAAAAAACAATCTTCCTGTATGATTTAATTACATAACCATGAAAAGTCCCTTGAGATTTGCACTATATAAGTAAACAAAATTTAATTAAACTAAAAGTTGCATTTTACTGTGAAATTTACCAACATCACTCAAAGTCCATTTATGATTAATTTTACTTTCCCTTCCAAGTTCTATTCAAGTTTTTGGTAATCATGACATATGAATAACCGATGAGGCAATGTCCACCTACGATAAAGAAGTGAAAGAGAAGTCTATTGCTCAAGTTCAAATTTATAAAGTCAAGACATCTACAGTGATAAACCAAGTGAGGAGGGCAAGGTAGGAGGTTTAACAAACCAGTATCTATCAATAGACCTAAAAGTACCCTGAGTTATGCTCAATTTTAAGAACTGCAACCAGTCCTGTGCTGGTAGTACGGTATCACTTTTTTCACTTAACCCGTTCTTACTACAATATTAGGTCAAAATGTTTTGGGGTTTTTTCCTCTCAGCAGATGTACTTTTTGGTAAATGTGCTCACTGTTTTGTTTTCTGTCACCAGTTTACAGCCACACATCTATTTCACATATTCTGATTTATAGATGTTTTCTTTTCATCAGGATAATTTTGAGTTTTAAGATGGTGCTGTGACAATTGCAATATTATTCTCAATGGATGGAAGTAACTTTCTGATGAAATATGATTATATAAATGCACTTGAATTGTAATCTATCATTTAAAACTTCAATATATATATATACATTTCTATTTTAAGATTATTATTATTATAGCACATTTTTCAATACTAGTTTGTTCTGAACTTTATTTTTTTAACTTCACTTGGTAAGAAAATCACATATTTATTATGTGATTACACACATACTATAGCTATGTGTAACTGAATACTTTTGTATAGGAGTGTCCTAGGCTGAGTTGGTGTACTTCGTCAGTAAACACCTTTAAGGTCATCTTACAATGAGCTTGAGCTGCTTGGCATTGCACCGCATGTTTAAAAATCTTACATTAAGTCAGACTTCACAAAATGAACAAAAGTTAGATATTTACTGTGTGTGCTTGCATTGGATTTTAGGTCATGTTTTTTTTACAGCTCACCTCTGTAGTAAATACAGAACTGATGAACAGGAAACCAGTGTTCAGCAGTGTGCCTAATGCAGGCAACATGAAATGCAACCAACCATAGCAGCTGATACTGCTGGTGTTAGGGGATTTTAAGTTATTCTCTGACATTTTTGTGATAGTGTCTTGCTGCTGACTCTGGATTAATTTTTCCTACTTGTTAAATCAAACTCTCCCTTGGTGCACGGAAACAGTCAAGACCTCCGCTTGTTTCCTCCAGAATGTGTCAAACGAAAGACAGGGGTGAGCAAGGTGAGGGCAGGAGGATGGGAGGAAGGCGGGGGGAAAGGGAAGAAAGATGAGACAGGACGGTGCACAGGCCATTTAGCGAGAGCATGTTCATTAGCATGGAGCATGGGCTGTTTCATCTCTTCTGGGAAAGAGTTGTGCTATCCTGACATCCTTGATACAGTAAACAAACTGCGCCTTGTACGGGCTTCAACGCACAACAACTGTGCTCCCCTGTTGAAAATGAATCAATTTTAGCAGGGCGCTCAACTGAATCGAAACGTTCCTATTAATTAGTTTTATTGAAGAAATCGTTTCAACACTAGCTGATGGTAAGCAGACTGAAAGAGATGTTGTGGATTTTTATTTTTTTTAGGTTGAGATGTGACTGTCACGTCTCAGACCCTTCAAGTCAGCTTATTACGCCTTTGCCGTGTTGAGAGAAATTCTGCACTCTCAGCTCGTCTTTTATCAAAATCGTTCAAGTTCAGAGCATGACTGGAGAGATTGATGGAAAATTGAGCTGCTCTCTCATGCAGCAAAGAACAGTGCAGCCATTCCCCTCACCCATCACTCCTCAATCAGCCCAAATGTGCACAGATATAGACTATTGATAAATGCCTCTGAACTATTCTAAGACTGGAAATTTAAAGGGCTTCTGATTTTGCCTTGTACGTCAGTGGTGCACGGATAAATCTGGCTAAGTGCTGGACAGTGATACTCACTGACACCTGAGGCAGTCGTGTATTTCTTCGTGCGAGGACGCCAAATACCAATTTATCTTCAGACGTCTGTCTCTTTCTCATTATTGAGGTCTATAACTTCCAGAAATTGCCTCCTAAATCACATTGTATCTTACAGTGTGTGAATTCTCGCTGAAATAGCAGACAGTGTCCGGTGTTTCATGGTAAAATAACTGGCTTAATTTTTTTCAGTGTTACTCACTCAAGGAGGCTGGGATAACCTTAAAGCATTGCTGAGATTGAAGTAAAAACTGGAGTTTAAAATTATAAAATATTTGAATACAATTTTTTGTGCATTTAAGTTTTGCTTTTTTTTACATATATCCTTTTTTTGTTTTTGACAAAAGAGACTACGAAAAATATCAAGGGTTAAATTTTGTTGTTTATACAAATATCAAATACAATTTATCCAGCATAATGTCATAGGTGTAAAAGTGCAGAGAACAAAAAAGTAGGGACACTGGTCTTCAAGGACTTGAGTCTAGGACGTTAGACTATCCAGAGTCTAAGGTCTATGCTGTTTTCTGTTCTGCAAAGGCCAAAGCTTTTCTATAGTATTGAACTTTTGAGACAGAAGGCAATGGAGGAAGGTTGGTCTCATGTCTGGAAAAGTATTTTGATTTTGTCAAATGTTTTGGATTTGGATCTCCAGGTGCCAGTTATCACTTTGTTCTAATTGTTTACAAAAATCACTTTGCTTCGCTTTGTTAAAGCATCCCCTGGGCACACGGAATTGCATATCTGTCACCAGAGTTAACAGTGGTCATAAGGGAATTTTCCATTGAATTTTGTTCATTTGAACAAATTGCGGAATATCACTTTAAAGTTTTAGTAGGATTTAGCTAAGATTGCAAGTCTACACATGTGATGGTAGGTCAGAAAAGCTTTCTACCTGTCACCATCCTTTTACAACTGGCAGATTATGGTGAATAGATGACCATTGGATGGCATTCTTACTTAAGTTCTTCAACAGTGTAATTTCTGACATTTTTCACGTCCTTCAACATCCTTATGACTGTGTTTTATAATGAAATGGGTTTCACACTTAACTTTTTTAAAGTTCCAATCGTTTTGGTTCTGATTGTGAATATAGACTTATATTGCTGAGTAGCCCCATTCAGATGTTATACGACCGCCCTCCATCTTCCTTATCTAAATGACACTCTAATCTTTTTGCACCTTTACAAAGTGGCTAAGAGAAAGGCTTTGTGCCACTTTATATTTATATCCAAGTTTATATAGAATTCATCAGAGAGTAACTGCTCCCGACACACCTTTCAACTTAAATTAACTTAAGTTGAACCTATAGAAATGATTCATATAACATAGTTTTGTAGGACTTTCCTGGGTTGAAGTTTATTATTGTGGGTGCAGTTTATTACTGTGGCATTTGTAATAAAAAACTAAATTTTAGTTTGCACTGAAAAAGAAATTGTTAAAGTTTTTACTATAGGGTTACACTGCATGCATTTTTCTACACGTATTTACAAAGATTCCTCTTATTTATTTTCTCTCAAGATCTTTTGATTGGCTCACTCGAACATTCATTTTGCACACTCATGGCTGTGGTTTATGTGCATGTGCATTATGCTGCATTTTTACTGCTTTTACTGGCTGGGGAGGTTCATAACAATGTTAATTTTGTTATTTTTTGTTTATTTTTTTCCCTTTTTGTTAAGACTCCAGAGCTGGTGAGGGAGCACCACAGAAAATCGACCATGCAGTCATTGGAGGAGTCGTTGCCGTTGTGATGTTTGCAATCCTCTGTGCACTCATTGTGCTCGGGCGGTACTTTGCCAGACACAAAGGTAAAGCACCAGCACTGCAACCACTCTGGATTGCTAACACATTGTTAAGTGTTTAAGTGCTTTATTTGGAGAAAGCGTGCCGTAGAGTTGAAGAGTATAGGGAGGTGGAGTTGTCTGCCTGCTAATTTGTCTGGCACCTTTTTTTGCAGGAACTTACTTCACACATGAAGCCAAAGGAGCAGACGATGCGGCTGATGCAGACACAGCAATCATCAACGCTGAGGGGGGGCACAACAACACAGATGAGAAGAAGGAGTATTACATCTAAACTAGGCGGGCCTGGAGTGGTGGTTTGGGATGCTGTGGGAGCACTGTGTCCAGCATTGATTGGTAACAAGATGGCTTGGGTTAGGGTAAAAAAAAGAAAGGAGGGTAAAACACGGAGAAAAGCAAGAATGGCATAGACGTGTGGGAAAAAGAGCCGTTACTTGGTCTCCTATCCGACCCTTTCTGGACTGCTGGGTCCTATTATGTACAGGTTAATTATTTTACAGAGAATTTTGTGCCTTGTTCTATTTCTTTTGTTGGTTTATATTCACATGCTTGTTGGATTGAATACTTTCTCCATGTACTCTACTTGATCCTTTGTTGCAATTGGCATTCAGAAGACATAGAAAAGGGTCTGGTGTTTATCAGTGTGTGCTGCAACTAGCTTTTAGCTTGTGTAATCAGATATATGAAAGGCCAGATCAGTCACACTTTTTTCTTAAGTCATTTCCAGAGTTTAGTAAATGAAACCCAATATCACAGTGTTTCTTTCTGTTGGGCCAAAATCCTGTGGTGCCTCCAAGTTTATCATATTTAGATGCAGGTCTAATTGGTTGTCATATATTCTGTCAGATAATACAAGGCCCGCTTCAAATTCAGGCCCACTGTTTATTACTTACTTTAGCAGTTTGAATAATCTTGCATATCTTTGAATGTATTTGCTAAAGAAGTCCAAATGATGAGAAACAGTAACGTGATATGTATCTGTATGGGGTTTAAATCAAGCTGTAAGATGCAGCCACTCCTTCAAAGATTATGTGAAACATACTCTGAACCCATTGTCAATATTGCTTCCTTGTCCCTTTAAAGTGGAAATTAAACAATTAACCCAACTGGCTTCATTTACGAGATTGTAATATAATATTATCAGCTATTATATTACAAATGTGAAAAATATTACTTAAAAGAAAAAATGCAGCATTGATTTTTGAATTGTTGGCAAAGGTGCCATCATGATACAATACTCTATGCAGTGACATTATGGGTTGGTTTCCTCTGTACCTTCTGGTTGAATAAATTGGAAATATCCACTATACCTTACAACCATAAATTAGCTCAGAAATGTGGTATGATGGAAGGGGAAACTGAAAGGACCCTAGAGCATCTAAATCCCTAATACTAATGACCAGCAATTCAAATGAGCAAACCTTGGTAATGTACAATCCACAATCCACACAGTACCTGATGCAGGTCAGCCTCCTGACTGAAGATGGACTTAATCACAGTTGGCATAGGTGAACAACAGCATTGCCACCCTGCTCCATCACAAACACATGTACTGGTGTGAGAAATCTGACCGTAGCGCATCCAGATACTGCAGAGTTATCTATCTGCAACTTGTGTTGTGCTATCAGTCTGCGCATGTGCATCCTCACAAGGTAGGGTGGATCAGTAGCATTGATAGTTCACAGCTGTCTGTTCTCTCCTTACCAGATCTCAAACCAAATGCTCAATGGGCTCTAAAACATAAGCAATGGAATTTAGATGCTTTGTTTTTTTATGGCGGTGAAGTATAGCTGTTATTTACAATGTATTCAGAGCTACAGAGCGAACTAATCCATGTAAGTCACTGCTTCGAGTACTGCAACATGGCCAGGCCCTTGCCAAAAATGCATAAAACAATACTATTTTTTTCTATTACATCTATGTTTTTCACGTTTGTAAAATAATTATGAATAATAATAAGACACAAACTTATGAATTTAGTTTGGTTAACCATTTTATTTCTACTGAAGCGTATTGCATTCACTAAAGAAAAAAAATCAGACAGCTTATCTCATAATTACAAGATCAGTATCTCGCAATTATTAGATCTTGTATTGTAATATGGTATCTTTTCTCATAATTACGAGATAAGATCTTATAATTACGAGATTTTGATCTCTTAATTCTGAGACCCTGGTCTCAATATTATGGGATCATATCTCATTATTATGAGAAAAGATCTCATAATTACGAGATAAGATCTCATAATAACGAGATAATGATCTCGTAATTATGAGATAAGCTGATTTTTTTTTTCCTTTGATGAATGCAATATGCTCCAGTACATATCCACTTTAACTCATTTAGAATGAAATGTTTGCTGATGAGGATTTTCAATCTACTTCTAGCACTTATTTACAGGTAGATTTCATTACTAAGGACCATTAGTGCAAGAAGGTAATGTAAGATAAAATCGTGGCAGGTTTTCGATTAACGCCACAGTGGTGTGTACCCTATAGAAGCTTGAAGTGTTTAAAATGACCAAATATCTTTCTGTTTGTTGCCATTTCACGTGGTTCTGAGTCCCAAATGGCACAATCAATTTTTGTCAATTTCTTTACTGATGTTTTGCATTATTGCATAGATAAACATTGATGTGTTCTTTGACAACTTTAAATCTGTAATGTCTCCACAATATCCACAAAAATTCAAAAATGCATACCACAACAGGAAAGACAACTTATTTTTGAGTAAAGGGATGCATCCAGTGTGCCATGATGAAAAGAGATTACACAAACTCTAAATGTCTACGCTACCTGGTGTTGTAAAGCTCAAAATTGTCATTGCAAATTAAAATAACAATGAAATAATTTTTTTATTCAGCTCAGGTAGTATTATACCAGCTAAGTAACATCTTGAGGGGTGAACATACCATAGCATCTATGACAGAGAGGAGAAACCACAGCAAGTGATAGATTCAGTGTAATTTTTACCTCTTCATTGCTGCTGCTTCATTGCTTTCTCTTTATAGCATTTTCTTTTAAGTGTTGCCTTACTCTGATCACTGCTTCACGTAATATGTGGAATGTGTAGGTTTTTCACAACCACATGAGAAAATGCTCACAGCTATGCTAAGTGCTAATTTTGCGAATTAATTTTCATTATTTTTGCTTAAAAATGATACCTAACTGCAAACCTCTCATTAAGCAGAGTCATCACCTGGTACCTCTCAAAAATTCCACATTAAACCTGAAAAGTAAGGTGGTAACGCGAAATGTTGATTAAAGCCCATAATCAAGATACTTGGGATTAGAAAGGGACATGCTTTGTTTCTTAAAAGATAGTCTTATTTAGTCATAATACATCATGTAAACATTTCCTCTATAGCTTTGGAAGTCATATATTGGTTTTTTTAAATTGTTGTAAAATTGTCAGTTTCATTTAAGAAGTTGGTCTTTATTCACTTCCTATAGCGAAATTAATTTTTTAAGAATCTTTCTGAGGCATTTTTCAACTGTAATCATATCATACTGCAGTCTGGATCTACTCGCAACATGTTATCACATTTAGAAAGCAATTGTACAGTTTCCTTTTTTTTGTTCATCTGTTATGATGAATTAACAAAAGCTAGTAGAGAGTTAAGCCTTCTAAACAAGTTTTTTATGACAGCGTCGTATTTAACTGAATTATTTAGCAATTTAAGAATCAAATACTTTACAGTTTAGCTGTCTAAGCCTAATTAGCTGTCCAAATTTGCTAACTATTTAAATTGCTATTTAAATAGCTTGCCTAAATTTTAATAAGGGAAAAAATTTTTCAGGTAAAAATTCAGGTAAAAAGCAAAATAACTAAAATTCCTAATTAGTCTAAAAAAAAAACTAAAAAAAAAAACCGCAAAATTGCCAGTTCATTGAAATCATCTGTTTGGCTGTTTAATCTTGATTAAATGAATAGTTCAATTAACAATCTAGCTATGTTTAGCTTATTAAACAGTTAAATAGCTAAACAGCCTTTGGTCCGATTTAGTAAAATTAGCTAAAAGCAAATTTGGCATCAAAATAGGTTATTTAGTTAGAAAATATTTAACTAAATAGTCTTAATTATTTAAACAACTAAATTCGCTTTTTAGATAAATTGAATAAACTTTAACACTTACTTTGCTGGCAAAAAAAAGTCACCTCACCTAAAACCTGTCACATCAAAACAGACAGAAATTGGTGATTCAATGGCCTGAATCTCAAAATCACCATCTGTGTTGTCAGTGAAACCTTTTTCAATAATTTAGCTTTACAGTCTTTATCAAATAATTTCATTTTTTACATTGCTGTTCTGATCTGTTTCAAGTCCTGTCAGTCACAGGAATTTTGAGTTCATTAAAATGTTCCTTAAGGTAGCTCCAAGATAATTAAGCAATCAAAATAGCTAATTACACAGTACTTAACTAATTTATCTTATTTATCTGAAAAACTAAATTACCTTTTAAGCTAAATTACCTAAGTTCTAACATTTATTTTGTTTGCCTGAAAAGTCAGACTTCACTTAAAAAATATCACAGTAAAACAGGCAGCAATTAGTGCTTCACTAGGCTGAATGTTTTGGGGTTTTTTATATATATGTTCAATCCATATTTTGTTACATTTCCTCTCACTGAATCCATTAGTTTGTGTAACTGTACCATAAATGTTTTGTGTACACAATGAAGTTGGAAAGTTGTTTTTGCAAAATGTCTCTCATCTGCTGGTGAAAATATCATGATGTTAAACTTTCAATGAGATGAAAATACAGAAAAAAAAATACCCACATAGATTTAGCTTTGAAGTCCTTGCCAAACCATTTTTATATTTTAGGCTTTTATCTTGTTTGTTTCCAAGTTAAAAACCTTTCAGTCACAGTAAGTCTGAGTTCATTAAAATTTATCTGTGCAAATACTTTATCTTTAGGCTCTCTCTGATAACTTCTAAGGTCAAAATGTTTTATGTTAAGAAGCTCTTTTTTTTTTTTGCATGTCATCTTGTAGCCTCAAACCTTCGCAGAGAAATTACATAGTTCTACAATTTCTCTCTCTTTTTCACTAACCCCGATCAAACAGTGTGAACTTTACACATATTTGACACCTCTCCGACTCACAGTTAGAAGAGCAACACTTGTTTGGCAATTAGTGAGAGACATTATTGTATTGCCTGAAGAAATAAAAAAAAAAGACCAGAGAAAAACGAATAACCACTGCCTTAAACAGACCTCTTCATACGTATCATTATAAAGAAAATAAAAAAGTGAAGGACATAATGTAGTGCCTTCTCCTTCTGATTTTGAGGCATTTGGTTAGAATTTCACTCTTGTACATAGATCTGTCCTTTCTAACTTTCAGGCCGATGCTCAGCCAAGTTGTCTCTTCATTCACTACAAAATTCCATCGTAATTTGGATCAAAATTACTAAAAACATAAAACAGTGGGAACATATTAATTTTGAAAACAAATATGTAAACTTTTTATGATTCTTTGAACAGTGGTCCTGTATTTATAACAAAAAAAAGTCATTTATTTAGTCTTAATTATGTTTCACCTTTACGGTACTTGCTATTTTTAAAAATCCTGGGCAAGGACTGAAAAACATTTACAGAGAGGGATACATTGATAAAATAAGCTGAGATATAAACAAATAATTTCTTCTTTTGTTTCTGGATCGTGGAGTTGCGGTGTCATGGAAACAGCTATGTGCATGACAAGTGTTATTCTGGGCTTTGATATTTATCTTAAATGGTAACTGTTGCTTTTGATGGATTAACTTAAAAAGACTGTTGGGAGAAAAAAAAATAATATAATTTTTCATTTATGTTTACTTACATTATATGTAGTATTTTTTCTTCACTCTCTCAGGTTCATGAGTCTTCTAGTTGTGTTTTTTTATTTTTGCATCTCAGGTAGAATGCAAATTTTAAGCCCCGAGTGTATATATCTATGCTGTAGTACCACAGGTATTGGAAAACGTAACAAAAATCACAAGATGTACATGTTTCTCTCAGTTGTACATGTTTCTGTGTTTAATATGGTGCACTGTTAAAGTAAATGTTAAATATTATTTTGCATAGACCTAGTTCACAAAGAAAACTAGATTTGTTAAGCAGCTGAAAACAATGTACAGTTGATGTTAACGAAATCACCACAATGTTCATGACACTTCTTCTTCCACTGTAACACTT